GGCGCTCCGGAGGTGGAATTTTGGGGGGGGGGGTGTCCAAGTGTTTGCATAAGAGTGATGGAGATGTTTTGGCACTGGAGGGAATGCACAAAAATTTAACCAGCATCGTATAAAAAAAAAAAAAAAAGATAAAGGACCCAGCCCGGCGTCTCGCTGCTGGCGAAAGCCGGCCCTCGTGCCCGCTGCCTGCTTTCGGGACGGCACGAGGAAGCACAAAGCCAGATCCAGACCTGCACTCCTGAAGCTTTGCAGCAACCCCCTAGGGAAATAAACGGAGAAAAGGAACAAATCCTGCTTATAATCCTTCTCCCTCCGGGTCTGGCATGGCCGGGGCGGTCCGTGGGTGCTCGAAATGCAAATGGTAGCGTAAGCGTATCTCTGCCGATATTAAATTTTCAGTGAGTTTACAACACTTCTCCCCTTATCTGATTTCCCCTCCCTCCCCGTCGGTTTTCCTGGAGGAGCCGCATCAAAACTTTACCCCCGGCTGCATCCGCTGGGGCCTTTTCCCAAGAGCTCTTCCAAATCCAAGCGAGTTGTGGGGGTTTTTTTCCCCCCGTTACCCAGGGGTGCGTATCAGGGATGGGCTAACGGGGCGCTCCATGCTGATGCTTTTCTCTCCTCCCTCTTTGCCATTCAGCTCCCATGAAAGAAGAGCGGGAGGATGGATTACGGCGGCTGCGAGTACCTGGTCCCCTGCGGAAAAGACAAATACATCGCCAAGTAAGCCGCTCGGCGGGGCCGTAATGCCAAAATCCAGCCGGTGCTGGTAGCTGGGGAGTTATTTGTGGTATTCCCCTGGGGGGGTTCGCCTTCAAGCTGGGAGGAGGGGAGCGACCCTTGGGTTTGACTCATTTCATAGCATCACAGAATGGTTTGGGTGGGAAAAGCCCTTTAAGCTCCCCCAGCCCAACCGCTCCCCTACCCCTGCCATCCCACCCCCAAACCCTGGCCCTCAGCACCGCCTCTGCCCGGCTGTTAAATCCCCCTGGGCTGGGGACTCGACCCCTTCCCTGGGCAGCCCCTTCCAGCCCCTGACAGCCCCAAGGGGAAGGAATTGTTCCCCATGGCCAACCTCACCCTGCCCTGGCACAACTTGAGGCCGGTGCCCCTCGTCCTATTCAGTTGGGTTTGGAAAGAAAAAGCCATTCTGGGGCAAGAAACGGCGACTTCCTTTAAAAAACCAAAGCAGAAAGGGTCGGGGGGGCGTTGCAATGTTTTCCACAGGAGCTCTATAAACTGTCATGAAATCCAGGGTTTGCTGAGAAAGGGCCTGGTTAGTGATTGCTCGCCTCTGTGTTGCTAAAGAAGCAAAAGAATCCTTAAAGCTGCGAGGGAGATTTTGAAAGCAATAGAGCATAGATGTGATATTTTTTTCTCCCCCTTTTTTCTTTCTCCTAACCCCAAATCCCCACGATTCGAGCTTCTTTATACCAGGCTGATGGCGCCGAGCATCCTTAAACTCCATCAGCCAGCTGAATTAATGCCAGCTTTATGAATTAATGCCAGAGGCATTGCTTCCCCGTGATGCATAGACAGCCTGGGTTCATTTATTTTTATTTTTATTTTGACTTTTATTTTACACTTTTATTTTTTATTTTTTTTTATTTTAAATTTTTATTTTTATTTTCATTTTTATTTTAAATTTTTATTTTTATTTTTATTATGCATTTGCAACTGGAGCAGAGCTCGGACATTTCATTGAAGCTGGAGGTCAGGGTCTGGTGCGAGGACCCGACGTGCTAAACTCGCCAGCGATAACTTGTGACTCCAGCATGACCCAAAGGTCGGGCTCTCTGAAAATTCCCTTGTTTTCCAGCCTTGTGACCGACTCCGCCAAGGTCTGGCGGGTTTTGCTTACATCTTTTCGCCTGGCTTATGGAGGGCACAGTTGCAGGGAGCTTGTCCCCCCCAGTTGCAAAGGGCCCCCCCGATTGAACCCGCCGATATCCTCAACAAGGGGGGTCTAGAGGCAGCAAAAGACCCAAATTTGCCCCAGATGAAGCTGGTTTGGGTCCCGCCGCAGCACAGCGGGTCCATAGCCCAGCCTGGCCCCGGGAAGCCAATTCTTGCTTTCTCCCAGATCGGGAGAAAATTTCCCCCCGGCCGGCTCAGGAGGTGCCACACCAGGTACCGAGCGGTGCCTGCAACGTCCCCCCTCGCTCCTCCCCATCTCTTAGCGTCCTTCCCTTTTTTTTTTCCCCCAGAAATGAGCTGCTTTTACACTTGAAGACGTACAACATCTACTACGAAGGGCAAAACTTGCAGCTGCGGCACCGGGAGGTAAGAACCCCCCGGGACAGGCACCCAACTTATCTCTGGCAGCAGAGGAAAAACGAGGAACTTGGGTTCAATTCCGACTTGTGAGGTCCAAAACAAACCCCCGCGCCTCTTAGCAATATCCATCGCTGTTTGGGTTTCGGATGCTGAGCCGCCCATCTCTCGCGCAGGAGGAAGGCGAGCTCATCGTGGAGGGGCTGCTGAACATCTCCTGGGGCCTGCGGCGCCCCATCCGCCTGCAGATGCAGGACGACAACCAGCGCATCCGCCCTCCACCCTCCTCCTCCTCCTGGCACTCCGGCTGCAACCTGGGAGCCCATGGGTGAGTGGAGGGAAAAGGAGTCGTGTGTGTCCCCCCGCCCCCCAAGGCAGCGTTTGCTGGGTTGCAACCCCAGCCACCCTCTCTGGGTCCTTTTTTTTTTTCCCAACGTGCAACGCCCTGAAATAAAGTAGCTTGGATTCACTTTGCAAAGGTCCCCCCCCTTTTGCAAAGGTCCCCCCCCTTTTGCAAAGACCACCCCTCTTTTGCAAAGACCACCCCGCCTTTTGCAAAGACACCACTTTTGCAA